TAGACCCCCTTGGGCCACAGGCTCATTTCCTGAGTTCCACAGCATCACCATCAGAGCAAACATACAGTAAATGTTAGAACCATTTTGGTTTACCTCTATGCTGTAGTTTCTGCCCTGTGCTATTTAAAATGTCATTTTTGCAGAGAAAGAGAATAGGAGAATTATTCTGTATGATCAAAATGCCATCGAGAAAATGTCTCTCAAGCTTGGGGGCATGAGGCTGCATTTTTTTTTTTAATAGTCGTAACAATAATAATGCTATTAGGACAACAAACTGAGATGCCCCTGGAGATGATGTGACAAATTGATGTGAAAATCTACAAATTGCTCCTATAACAATAAGAGTAAATTTCTCCATCTTACTCAGGGCCCCAGCTGTCTTACCAGTGCTTTCCATCAGGTGAAAGAACACAATTTATATTATTGTGCTCATTAAAGTAAGACTAATGCTGAGTTTGAGCTCAATTTAAGTAATACACAATCACATTTTAAGAAGCAATTTCTGTCCTAAGCAGCAAGAGGGACAAAAAATAGGAGATAAGGGGGAGTAAAATTGCAAAAACTCTGCATTGCAAAGGTGCTTCTACCTCAAAGCCTTGAGGCTCATTACTATGCCTCTTAGCACTCAGAATGGCAAAAACATGCCAAAATCTCTTGGTTTGATGAAAAATCACACCTTGCAGCATTCTCACTTTTCTGCCCTACCTGGTCCTGCTCTGCTCATTAGTTGTCCTTAAATATATCTCCAGTGTATATTGTTTCTTACCCCTGTCCAACAATCAGATGCATTTCCTCTATACCTCACCTGCTCTAATGCATTCTGCATGCATTCTACTTTCTGTGCCTGTCTCTGTTGTCTCCCCTCTGACCTCTCAGGGGCTTCTTACTTTCCTCTGTCTTGCAGCTGGCAGGACAGGTGCTTTTGGCAGCATTTCTGGGTGGTCTCCTTGTGTTACACCCCACTCCCCAGTGTATCCAACCTCCAGCACCTCTATTTACCTTTCCTGACAAGATTGGCTTCCTATGCCTCTCCTTCGTTAAATGATTCTTATGGAGGGAAGGGATGGGGACATTTATTTCCCTCTGCTGTCAAGCCTGTTGCTTGAGCCTTTGGAGACTGGAGAGGTAGAATTGTCCCCCTCCTCTTTGGGGTGACTGGCTCCCTTTCATATTCTTTCAGTTTATCCATGATCTTTACTTCTTAGGTCCTCTAAGCATTAAAGTAAATTGTGGTGTTTCTTGTGATATCCCAGGATATTGTTCTTAGAATGGTAATATTGAATATTTTGCATGAAACTTATTGAAAACTCCATGGGAGTTTTCTTTCCTTTTGTTCTTTGAAAACTCTCAAGATCTAGCTTCACAATTTCCAAATATTTGGGATTAAGTTGTTTGCAATGTGATGCTGTGTCCTCTGGAATACATGTTTTAAGAAATGTGGCCTTTCTTGTTTATGATAGAGAAAAAAGTCTCATGAAAGGAGCTTCATTCAGGTTTGTATGCAAGGGGAATTGCTACCAGAGTCTTTGGAAGTCAGCCTGAAGTGAGGATAATTTTGACATTTTTGTTATTTATCTTTCCCTTTTCTAATTTCTTTGCTAATTTCTTACATCTGTTTTTTTTTCCCCTCAGCATTGATGATTTGCTCAAAACTTGGTTAAATGATAATAATTCTATGGGCAATTTAACCACATTATCTTAGATGAAACTAGAATTTACTGTCTAGCCTAATACTGTGATAAGACAGAAAAAATAAATACTTGAGCATCCTGTTAGTAATGGGTAAACTAATTTCATCTCAGCTGCAGAAACATTTTGAAGAATTTCTTTTTCTTTAATGGAATTTAGAACATGGAAAATCAGGATCTAGGTTTCAGTTTCTTAAAATGAGGCCATTGTAGTAACTCAGACACTGTCTGGTGTAATAGAGAGAAGAATCTGATCCTTGTATTTCTGCTGAATTGTGCCCTTGCAAAGAAAAATGGAAATAAATGAGGAAAGTAGACTCAATTTACTAACAATCTTCATGACACAATCTCCATAAATTTTGATAGTATATTAAAGAGAGCAATTTACAAAATCCTTTTAGAATAATAATCTAAGAATTCCTGGTAATGCATCTATACTTTCAAGTATTGTTTATGTATAAAACAAAATGACTGTCTGTTCTCATTTACTCTATGTTATGCTAATACCA